GTTCCCCACACTGAGCTCAGTACCTGGTGTACACAGTAGGCAACTCATGAAGGAAGAAGAGGATTTCCAACCTAGGTCTAAGATTAAAGGTCTAAAGCAGTTCCCAAATAGCTCATTCTTTTGGTATCTCTCCTTCAGATTCTCTGACAAACATTAATATCTGAGCTCAAACATTGCTTTCCCTTAAGGGACACATTTATAGGACTTTCAAACTCTTATAAATATTAGGTGTTAGTTATTTTTAAAAATATAACTATTTATACATGGGAGCATTTGAAAGATTTCTCTTGTGAATTTCCTCATGTCCACAGAAGGTGATTTTGATTTAAAACTTAACCAAATCATACAAAAGATAGAACAGTTATTGTGGCATAAAGGACAGACCGCTTCTCAAGTTGAATGCACTTAGGACAGGTTTGCCTGTACTGATATTTTTAGAAATCCAAGTTAAGAATAAAAGCAGGTAAAAAGAATCTGCTATATTTGTCATATGAGCAAGCTCTTAAAAAATCTAGTTAATTTACCATAATTTTCTTTTTTATTGTTGTTTTGTTTTTGTTAATCCTCACCCAAAGACATTTTTTCCATTGATTTTGTTTTTTTGAGAGGGAGAGAGAGGAAGAGAGAGAAGCATCAATGTGAGAGAAACTACATCAAATAGTTGCCTCACACACACCCTGACCAGGACCTCGGATCAAACCTGCAACCCAGGTTTAAAAACTATCTTTTAAACTTATGTGATGATGATGATGCTTTTGTCTTTTCCCCTCTGTTATTAGAGTTTTCATTTTCACAAAGAATGCTATGTAGCAGGTATTAATCTGTTTTGCACATAAATGTGTCAACAACTTGGTGGCATTTTTGAAAGGTAGAACAAAGTGCTTGTAAATTGTAATTTTGCAATTACACTTGTGTACTTTGGGTACTTAAAATAAAAAGTGAGTTTTTTATAATGATCCAAAGCGTTGCAAGTGAATTCTTTTCTCTGTGCTAAAATCTGTTTTACCCAATAAAACAGGAAATGTTCTTCCCCAAACTTCAGCTATATCTTCATTCCCGTAAGGCTTCCTTTAGTGTGTCAGTACCCAGAAGACAAAGTGAATGTTCTTCATTCTATCTGTGCTCTTTTTCTGGAACTTGCCTATTCAACTGTTCACTGTCTATCATATTCCTCCAATAGATCCTTTTCTATCATATCTCCAACTATTCTCTCCCTGCTGGGTCCCTTTCTATAGACTAGAAATAAGCTCATTCTTTCCATACTTTAAATGTCCACCCTTAACCTGGCATTACCTGTATTCCTCCACCTTCCAACCTTCACATTCTCAGCTAGGCTTCTTGGCCTCTTGGATTTATAGTCCAGACATTTCTGTTGTGGACATTTATCTCAGTGCCTGGGCTGTCCAGCATCAGAGTGGAAAATCCACCATTCTGTAAGGCCAAAACACTGGCAGTGAGGGCACGTCCTCATCCATCAGACACCCCCATTCAGGACACTGGCCCTGATGAGGACTGCACAGAGGAGCAGGGATGGAAGGGGCTTTTAGACTCATCAGTGGTAGCATCTAGGGGCCAGAACTGAGATGTGGAAATTATTAGCAGAGGGACATTCAATGTCAGGTCTGACAGCAAGGACACCCTACCTAGGCTACTCTTGGGACAACCTTAAGAAATAGTTCAACACGCCGAAACGGGTTTGGCTCAGTGGTATAGCGTCGGTCTGCGGACTGAAGGGTCCCGGGTTCGATTCCGGTCAAGGGCATGTACATTGGCTGCAGGCACATCCCCAGTATGTGCAGGAGGCGGCTGATCGATGTTTCTCTCTCATCGACGTTTCTGGCTCTCTATCTCTCTCCCTTCCTCTCTGTAAAAAATCAATAAAATATATATTTAAAAAAAAAGAAATAGTTCAACTTAAGTTATAAGTATTAACCACAGCCTGATAATCAGCACAAAAACTAAGATGATGTCCATTAAGCATATATTTTTCCTTTTTGGTTTACATTGTATATGTATTATTAACTAATTTTTTATTTTTATATATTAACTAATTTTTTTATTTTTATATTTTAAGTAATTTTTTTATTTTTATATATTAAGTAATTTGCTCTGAATCACCTCCTTCTCCTATCATTTTACATAAGGATTGTTGGTGGTGGTAACTTTACGAGTTAGTATGTAGTTTACAGAATATTCATTTAGGTGAGACTGTCTGAATGCAAGGAGAAATTAATATTGCCCAGATATCAGAACTGTAAACGTTGCACAGAAATGGATACAACGACCATTGGCACATAGCATCTCCCTAGTTTGGTGTCTCCTTTTGTTCAAAATCTAGTTGCAACTTAGTAAATGAAAGCATGAAGCAACAGGGAAGTCGTAGGTCCAGTGTATGTACAAAGGTGTGTGAGACTGCCATGTAGTCAATGGGGTGAGCTGTGCTGGCGAAGCTTTTGTCTCTCATCTTCAAAACCACCCTCTATACTCTGCTTTCCCACGCTGCAGCTGAACCTTGCACAGCTCCTGAATGCTGTTTAACCTCTACCTATACTGGGTGCTAGGACACTAGAAGGCTGATGGACCAACAAGGGACTTGATCCTTCTTGTTTTGTTTCCTAGTCATCACCCCAGCAAAGTCTCCTCACCTGGATAGCTGCAGTTGATTTCAGTAACCAGGTCTTCCCCCCCACACGCACACACATTCTCAGAACCAGCCATAACATGCCTCCTCAGAGACCTATCAATATGGGCGGTCTAGCATCCCCTCCTCAGATATATAAGTTTCCTCTCTGCAAGGTCCTCTATCAAGTACCCGAGGAACCAGTACAGACTCCTCAGAAGTCAGTTCTTTAGGATCCTTCCCCCGAGTTTCATTTGGCTACCTTCCTTTCCACTCCTTGAAACAGCTCTGGCCAAAGTTTCCATTACTTCCACATTGTCAAATCAATAGATATTATTCAGATCTTATTATACTGTTCTGTTATATCTGGCAAAATTGACCTCTCACTAGTCCAACCTTAAGACAATATTATTTCTTCATCAATAACTTTTGCTTCGCCCAGCCTTTGTAACTCAGTGGTTGAGCCAGGAGGTCACGGTTCGATTCTCGGTCAGGGCACATGCTCGGGTTGCAGGCTCCATCCCCAGTAGGGGGCATGTAGGAGGCAGCCAAACAATGATTCTCTCTCATCATTGATGTTTCTATCTCGGTCTTTCTCTCCCTTCCACTCTGAAAGCAATCAAAATAAATTTTAAAAAATAATAATTTTGCCTCATCAATACATTTTGGAGGGGTAAATTAACAAAAATTCTTTAGAAAGCATGTTAGCAATATTGATTCAACAAATAATTGATTCAACAAACATTTGCATGACTATGTCAGTCAATTAATTTCTAGAGTGAGGAATGTTGTCAAGCATAGCCAGTGCTTTGAATGTACATTTAGTAAGTGGTAGAGCCAGGTGATCCAACTCCAAAATATGTCTTAATAACCTCTACACCAGGGATTTTCAAGCTTCAGTTTTATCAGAATCACTTAAAGGCTTGTTGAAACTTATACCAACAGGCCCCACTCTCAGAATTTCTGGCTCACTAGTTCTGGAGTGGCACTGGAATTTCAGTTTCTAAGAAGCTTCCAGGTAATGCTGATCTGCTTTTCAATACTACCTACTGACATTTTTTTTTCTTCTTAGCTCTTCTTCAGCCCTGAAAACTCAACTCAGCTGGTCTCCTTCATTAGGCAGCCTTCCCATCTCTCTTCTCTCACCAGCTGTCCTAGATATCCTCACCAAGGCTCCCACCCTACTCTTGTGCTCCCACAGCTTCATGGGCAGGCCTGGGACACATCAGCAACCACTAAAATTAAAACTCTCTGCACTTTTGTCCCAACCACTAGCCCGTGAAAAATAAATAGAAAAAAATTCCCACCCTCCATTCAAATATCTAACACCCCTAAATTGAGCTCATACTTTTTTCAGAATATATGCCCATTCATATTTGCAATGTCTTACCACCTGAATAAAGAGGAGGAGAAAAGAGAAAAACTAATGGGGGGGAAAAAAGTTGTATAAGAAATCCTATATAATAAAAGGATAATATGCAAATTGACTCTAACAGCAGAACGATTGGGAACAACCAGTCGCTATAATGCACACTGACCACCAGGGGGGAGATGCTCAATGCAGGAGCTGCCTACTGGTGGTCAGTGTGCTCCCACAGGAGGAGCTCTGCTCAATCACAAGCCAGGCGTGGTGGCCGGAGCCTCTGCTTCCTTGACAGAACTAAGGATGTCTGTGACGTAGGGCTGCTCCCTAAAAGGAGCGAGCCTAAGCTGCAGTCAGACATTCCTTGAGGGCTCTAGGACTGTGAGAGGGCACAGGCCAGGCTGAGGGACTCTCCTACCCTGAGTGCACAAATGTTCATGCACCAGACTTCTAGTCCTATCTAATAAAAGAGTGATAGCAAATTGACCATCACTCCAACACACAAGATAGCCACCCCCATGTGGTCAAAGATGGCTGCCCCCATTGGACACAAGATGACCAGCAGGGGAGGGCAATTGTTGGTGATCAGGCCTGCAGGAGAGGGCAGTTAAAAGCAATCAGGCTGGCAGGGGAGCAGTTAGGGGGCAATTAGGCTGGCAGGCAGAGTGGTTAGGGGCGATCAGGCAGCCAGGCAGGCAAATGGTTAGGAGCCAGCAGTCCCAGATAATGAGAGGGATGTCCAAATGACAGTTTAGGCCTGATTACGCCGGCAGTTGACACCCACCAAGGACTCCCAGATAGAAGAGGGTGCAGGTTGGGCTGAGGGACACTGCCCCCCTGCAGTGCACAAATTTTGTGCACCAGGCCTCTGGTATATATATATATATAAACTGTCACCTAAAAACTTACATAGATATCAAAGGAAATGTATGGAATAGGAGAGGTTTCACAATCCACTTCTATACATTTTTTTAAAAATGTGTCATAGAACTGCAAATTAATTTAGTTGGTACTTACAGAACATATAAAAGATGGACCTTAAGGTCATAATTCTTGAAAGAATTCTTAAATAATGGCTCTATATAACAGATGAGCGATTCCAAGTCCTCTTTCATCCAGCACTGTATGTTCCAGTTTGCACCTGAATTAAAAATAAACTACTTTAAATCTGAAAAACATTCTGAACAACTCACTACAAGAGAAGAGCTAAATTAAATTTACCAGTGTACTGACACAACTCACACTGTCTGTTCTGAGAGAAAACAAAAACAAAACAGGTTCTACCTAGTGGTATGTGTTTGCCAAAGTCATTCATTGTCTTTGGCCTTCGGTTTTCTTTTTGTGTAAAAGAGAATTAAATTCAATTATTGCTTCTTAGACCTTTTTATCCTGAATCACTTACATAGAACAATCCTCAAAACAAAATCCTCACGGAGCTCAGTTTATGCTCACTTTCCAAGAGAAAAGAGAACATTAAATATCAAAGTACAAGCAAATGTGGAGCAATATTTCTGTGTCTATTTTAACAATAAAAGCAAGGTGATTCACATTTGAACTATGATGCATGTCTTAAATTCTTGTTATCATAATATTACAGGCTCCAACTATAACTGATGAAAGTTTATTTCACAGCACACTGAAAAACTCAGCTGGTAATGTAAGATAAACTATAGGTGGCTTGTAATTTAGAAGCCAGAGTAGCAAAAAATAAATTCAATGACTATTTAGTAAGACAAAACTGAAACTATCTTAGGGCAACAGTAACATATTTCCCCAAACCTAAAAGATTTCTTGAGCTCCTCTTGGCAGAATAATCAATGGAAATCCTCAGTAACCACCACTTAAATTAATAATTTTAGTTTTAAAGACTTTAACTCACTCAGAAATAACTAGCTATTAGCCTTTATACAGTATATAAAATTAAAATCTACAGCATCATAATCATTACTTTTATGTGAAGAAAATATTAACTCTTTTTTTTAATAATTTCAAAGCTCATTCTAAGGACCCTGATTTCTTACGTTCATTCTTAATACATTTAATAATCACTAGAATGGCTAAGTTTCTTTACAGATTTTTTTTAAAGTGCTTCATTTTAATAACAGTGCAGTGGAATAAAAAAATTATAACAAAATTAAAAGACTATAGATTCAATTGGAGGCACTGCTAACTTGTTCTAAAACTCTGACTTTATTGCATGTGCATCCTTTATCCTTACTCCTAAACTGGTTTCCACGAACTGCAGTGTTTTTTCCATTGAATCAGTGGTGCTCCGCCAAGGCCATTTGGTCCTCCATGGGGCATCTGGCAAAACCTGGAGCTATGTTGTGATTGTCACAACTGGAGAGGGAGTGGTACAGGCATCTAGTGGATAGAAGCCAGGGATACTGCTAAGCATCCTACAATGCACAAAACAGCCCAGCATAACCAATAGTTATCTGGCCCAAAATGTCAATAGTGTAGAAGCTGAGAAATCCTGATGAGTCCTAGATAGGAATGCTATACATATGTGTGCCTTTATTTTCATCCTGTAGGTCTCTCTATATTGCCACATCAAGTGACTCTGCTCTATTAGCTCTTCCAGCAGGCTTGGAAATAATTGTGATGTTTAGATCTCCAGATGCAACATTATTAACTACACTAGCTACATTAGTAGGCATTAACCTCACACAATAAAAACTCCTTGATTTAAAAGATCTATTGGTTACAGAGCAATTCTTTGTTTGAACAAATATTATTACTCATAAATGCTTTAAAATAGAACTAATTTAACAATTGAATATTTTAAATATTTTATCTATTTAATAAATTTAGTGAGCCTTTTTCATTTTAAAGCACATGTAGAAGACCACAAGAAATGTATTTATAGTTTAAAAAAAGTTCCTTCATTACATTTTTATCTTATTTTATGGGACATAAAAAAATTGGGGGCTTATTAGTTTAGTCACATGATGAATCCTAATTCTGTTGCTAATATAAAATTATAATATGTGTTTAGAATCCTATCCATAAGACATCAATTCCATGCAGTTTTCAGAGAATAAAAACATTTTGTTCAATACAGCTGAGTAACAGCTAAATCTTGGAACATTAAAATACTTACCTATTTGTTGAAAAACCAAAGAATTTACTGTTGAAACGAATGCCTTCCCTTCAATGTTGTCTGCCTGTACAGAGCAGTTTTCATTTTCCTCACTCCAAATGCAACAGTGGAAAGTTATTTTGGATGTTAATTTAGAATAGTAGGTACCACTTGAATTAAATTTAGCTTCTAAAAGTGGCTCATAATATCCATCCAAATTTGAAGTGTTCTTTGAGATTCCAGCAGGCAAGAGAAAGTCGTAAGTTGTGTTTGGTGGCATGCAAAACAGCTTAAATCTCCAAGGAGTACTGGGATATGCCAAGTTAAATGCTGTTATCACGTAAATAAATTCTGTTTGGACATTAAAAACAAACATAAAAAATCATTTTAACTAAAACATAAATAGGAAGTATCTAAGATTAAACCATGCAGTGTTCAACAATAATTATTTAACTTTCCAAGTGCTCAATCAGTACCTAACACATGGCTCTGTACCTCTATTGTATAATGTGTTATACTTGAGAGGTGCATTTATTTATAGAGGCAACTTCACTCTCTAGCACCCCTTTTTGAAAATTCATGCTTCTAGTTTCTCATTAGTATAATTTATATTTTAATGAATAGAAAGTTCAAATATTTCAATTTTCATTTTAAAGAATATTCTAAAGAACTACAGCATAAATAACAAATATCTGAATGGACAATTACATAGATAAATATTGAAGTGCTGTTTTAATATTTCTTTTTTTAAATATGTTTTTATTGATTTCAGAGAAAGGAAGGGAGAGAGAAAAAGAGACAGATATATCAATGATGATATATCTCCTGCATGCCCCCTTTTGGGGATCAAAGCCCGCAACTCAGGCATGTGCCCTGAGTTCATGGATCGATGCTCAATCACTGAACCTCTCGCCAGCCAAGCTGTTTTAATATTTCTTAAGGAGAATGACACCAAAATGTTAATAGTACTTTCACTGAATCCTTTCATAAAGGGTTTGTCTTCAACATCAAGATACTTAGATGAACTGATCCTGCCCATTATCCTTCAGATATATGACATCATATGAGACATACCCTTAATGCACTCTCCAAGAATTGGTGCACAATGACAAGACTTCTTAGAGGAATCTTCCATTGCTGATTAAAGACAATTATCACTTTTAAGATACATCAAAGTTAAACACAATTATAAAAAAATCCTGTACCAAAAATAATCCTCAAAAGTGATACTTGTTTTTAAATAATGAATTGTTTGAAAATAAAATATCAACTTTCTATAATTATTTCTTTTACAAGTTACCTAAATCCAACAGCTGTGTTACTTCGTATACAGATTAATGCAGAATGAGAATTCTGAGAAACCTGCATGAATTTGTATGGAATAAATATTTTGAAAAATTAGGGTAAAATTTAAGAAAATATAAATTTTTAAAAATCAATTCACAATTATCTTAAATTATAAAAATAAGACATAAAATATCCAAACAATATATAAATACTGACTGTTAACAGCTTAGTCTCTAAACCTTTCTATAAATATAAATTAATGCAAACATGTATCAGATGCAAAAATGAAGGCAAAACTGATTAGCATGACTAATATTATTTTACCCCGTGTTAATAATTAGCTACCATAACATCACTGAAAGTGAATCCTCATTGCAATAGTGTTCCTTTGTACTTCAATATTTCTAACACATTTCTAAAATTATAATATCTCAATGAAAAGAGAATAACATTTCTTTGGTGTTACAAAATCCATGAATATGTAATAGTATTCATTAAAAGCATTATATTTTCTAGCTGCACATGAAGGATTCAGTTGGCTGAATTGAAGTTAGCCTAAATTCATCAAAGAAGTATTTGAAATTTAAAATTTAATAATGAATGTCATAGACATAGCAGCTATTGAATCAGTTCAATTAAAAGATAATTCTCTTTTTTTTTTTTTTTTGCATGCTCCCTTTGAAAATGGTATTTCTTTCCGTCCAAATGAACTCTAAACCTGCGAGGAGTCCAGAGCATGCATCTCAAAGCATGTTATCATGGTAACAATATCCCAGGGACTTTTCTGATTCACAGAACCTAATCACACTGCAAACTTTTGGAAAATTTAATGTGAAACATTTGAGTGGGACCTAACAAAATTAGGTAGAGATGATGAGAGAATTATCTAAGAAAGAATGAGTGTGCTATTGTTTTTTGATAGTCTTTTGTGACATGGTTTGTTCTGAAATCTGTAACAGTGGAGTTATCCTGAATATTTTCTGTAAATATATAGATGACTACAATGAGAAAGAATAGTATATACAACAAAGAAGTAGAGAAGCTAATAAGAGCACCTTTATATTGGATGGCCAAGTAGATGCTCATAACTAGTTGACACACAGGTAATGATTGCCAGATAAGATGGGCTTTATAAACGATAGCTTAGCTTTAATTTTAAAAACTAAGAAATTAACCTAAATTAGATGATGAGTTTTTTTTTTTAACATCAGAATAAAACTAGAATGCAGTGAGAAGCAAGTGAAAATAGTATGTTCAAAAGTGATTGGCAATGTGTGACAAATCTCAAACAGAAGCCTGCTGTGCTTCAGGGCAGTTAAAAATCACAAGATAGTAAAAGAACATTTGTAAGCTTTCTCTTGAGGATATTCCTGCAATGGATAGGAGAAAAACTAATATACATTTAATTTCTGAAGGCATTCTTCTGGTAGTATTCAAGATGAAAATTTCTAAGGTATATACCATCCCTTGATAATATCCCATTATAATATAATATTTGTTATTGTTTATCAGTTATAATGCAAAATAGAATTTCAAATTGCATCTCTATTCCGTTTGAGAATAAACCCATCATTTTGTGCCATAGTCTTTTACTTTAAAGATTATTACCACATAAAGTGCTCCTTTATTTAGAGAATTAAAGTTTTACTGTCATCTGATATATATACATACACACTAGAGGCCTGGTACATGAAATTCGTGCATGGGTAGGGTCCCTAGGCTGGCTGGCAATCAGGCCAATCTGTGGGGTGAACGGGGGGCCATCACTGGCACCTGCCTTGGCTGGCCTGGGGTCTGTGGGCTGGGGGCAGCTCCTGCATTGAGTGTCTGTCCCCTGGTGGTCAGCGCACATCATAGTGATAGGTCGTTCCACTGTTTGGTCTATTTGCATTTTAGATTTTTGTTATATAGGATATATATATATGTGTGTGTGTGTATATATGTATGTATGCATGTGTATATATGCATATGTATGTATGTATATGTATATGTTCCTATGTATTCCTATGTATATATAAATTTGTGTGCTATAAAAGGAAATAAAGTTAAAAAGCAAATGATGAGCAAGGAGAAAATTGCAAAGCATAATAAAGTGTTTGGGCTATAATAATTAATGTTATGAGTCAATTTGTTGAGGCCTACAAGAGACTCAGACATTTGGCCAAACATTACTCTAGGTGTGTCCGTGAGAATATTTCTGGATTAATTTAACACTTGAATCAGTAGACTGAGTAAAGCAGATTGGCCTATCTAATGCAGTGGGCCTCATCCAATAAGTTAGAGACTTGACAAGGACAAAATGGCTGAGTTAAAAGTAACTCTTGCCCTAGCCAGTATGGTTCATTTGGTTGGGCATCATCCCATGCACCAAGGGATTGCTGGTTCAACTCCTGGTCAGGGCACATGCCCGGGTTGCAGGCTTGATCCCCAGTAGGCGGTGTGCAGGAGACAGTGAATGAATGTTTCACTCTCTCATCGATGTTTCTCTCTCTCTTTCTCCCACTCCCTTCCTCTCTGAAATAAAAACAAATGTGCACACTATTCAAAATAAACATCCCTCTTTAGGAATTGATCTACAAAAATATTCTCCCAAATATACATATATATGTATATATATATTTCAATGCAGCATTGTTTACAGAAAATAAATTTCTATTAATGGGGAATTGGTCAAATAAGTTAATAATTTAAGGTAGATTTATACAGTTCATTGTCATGTTATCATTAAACAAATAATTACATCAGTGAATACCAAAAATAAAAATAAAAATAAAAAGGGATGATAAATTGAAAAGCTGTTAAGTAGGGAAAAACAAACAAACAAACAAACAAAACAGAACAGCCCCGCCAAGCCAATGTGACTCAGTGGTTGAGCATCAACCTATGAACAAAAAGGTCATGGTTCAACTCCTAATCAGGGAATATGCCTGGGTTGCAGGCTTGATCCCCAGTAGGGATCATGCAGGAGGCAGCCAGGCAATGATTCTCTCTCATCATTGGTGTTTTGTCTTGTTTTTTTCTCTCTCTCTCTCATCCTCTCTGAAATCAATAAAAATATATTTTGAAAAAACAAACACAGAGCAGTATAGAGATCAATTCTATTTTTGCAACTATAAATATGAAGTGTGTGTGTGTGGGGGGGTTATTTCTGGTAGAATATAAATCAGGTTCTTTCCAAGAGTTGGGAACAGTGTTCATTTTCACTCTATTTGCAAAAGGATAAAAAGTTTTCATTTTCACACTTATACTTTCATCAAGTGAGCATGAGCATGAGAATTCCTACCTGGAAACAAAAAATTCTGTTAGCAAATATAGGAAAAAGTATCTCCAAGAGAAAAATCTCTACCTTACACATGGACATTTAATAACAAGTACAAATAGGGCCCAGCCCATGTGGCTCAGTTGGCTGAGTGTTGTCCCATACACCAAGAGGTCTTTGGTTTGATTCTTGGTCAGAGCACCTGCCCAGGTTGTGAACTCAATCCCCAGTAGAAGTATGCAAGAGGCAGCCAATCAATGTTTCTCTCTCATTGATGTTTCTATCTCTTTTTCCCTCTCTTTTTTTCTCCCTCTAAAATCAATAAAAACATTTATTTTAAAAAAATAGTACAAATTTGTTGTTACAGAATAATCATCCTATATAATAAAAGCCTCATATGCTAAGTGTCTGGTATTCCAGTCATCTATTCAACTAATCAAAACGTACTATGCTAATGATATGCTAAGGCTGCTCAACTGCTATGGTGCACTGACCACCAGGAGGCAATCAACCAGTCAACAAGTCACTATGACATGTACTGACCATCAGGGGGCAGACATTCCAACTGGTAGGTTAGCTTGCTGCTGGGGTCTGGCCCATTGGGACTGAGCAAGACAGGCTGGACACACCCTGGAGCCCTCCCACAATACCTCCCTGGCTGGCCAACCTCCCATGTCTCTTTCTGGCCTTGATCATTCACTAGTGGGATCCTTCTGCCTGGCCTGTACGCTCTAGTAATGGGGATGTCAGAGAACCAGTTTTAGCCCCAACCTACAGGCCAGGCTGAGTGACCCCACTGGTGCATGAATTCATGCACTGGACCTCTAGTGGGGATATCCCTAATATGCAAACAGACCAAACAAAGGAAAAAATGGAACAACCAAACAACTGGGTCGCTATGATGTGCTCTGACCACCAGGGGGGGCATGTGGAACATGGTGGGCATTGGCTGTGGCGGAATGGTGGAGTAAGAGAGGAGGTTGACAGACCAAGGCATGGAGCCAGTCACTGTCATCAGGGTGAACCTCTGGTGATTAGTGAAAATTCTTTGCTCTTGTGTGCCATGGTCCTGCCAGGTGCTCATACCTGCTGCCAGTGCTGACCCCACTCGCACCACTGCTGGCACCAGAGCTTCTGCTTGCACCCACTGCTGGTACCCAGCATCAGCCCAGATCTTTTGGTGCCATCAATGGGTGCAAGCAGTGGCTGCCAGCCCCAATCACCCTTTGGGGCTTCTCTACCTCTCCCTGCTCCTGAGGGATGATTAGGACAGCAGCGGCTGCTCACACCCTCTGCTAGTGCTGGCCTCAATAGCTCCATGCCATCAGTAGGTACAAGCAGGGCTGGGGCCGGCTCCATCAGGACATGGGAGCTGCAGCAGACAAGGGACTGTGGGCCATGGCAAGAGTGGCCAAGGGGGGTGTGGAGGATGGGCCAAGACCTGCCCCTGTGCCCACTGCAGCCTCGCAGCCCACAGTTCCTTTCAAGGTGCACAAATATATGCACTGAGCCCCTAGTATAGTCATTAATATTCTAATAACTATGTATGGTGTCAGATGGGTGAAAAATTTATCAGGATAATTACTTAGTAAGTTAGGTAATGTCTGTATACACCTGAAACTAATATAATAATATATTTCAACTGTAATTAAAAAATAGAAATGATTTTTAAGTGGGAGGAAAAGATAAATAACTTACCCCACAGTAACAAAGCCATACGAAATTTTTGACAAGCCATCTTACTTCAGAGAAGAACACCTGAAAAACAGTTTTAATCATAATAATACTCTGAATCAATATCAGGAAAGTGTTTCATATTAAAGGACAACTGTATTATAGATTTATTCCTGTGCACATGCTATCTTACATAGTCAAAATATGCCACATATTCTTATATGACATAATCAATTGGTTGCCCCTCACTGCTCTGACCAGGATAGGGAATGGAGCCTGCAACTGAGGTATGTGCCCTTGATCAGAATTGAATCTGGAACCCTTCCATCTGTGGGGCTAATGTTCTAACCACTGAACCAAACCAGCCAGGGCCCAATTTTTTTAAATCTCAAGTTGGGGATTCAGTTCACCACACAAGTTAATATGAGGTGAAAAGCCCTGAGTTAGGTGTCAAGAGTCTTAGTTATCAATCTAGGCTCTTTTAAAATTAGCTAAAGATAGGACTTGGGACTTCAACACTCTAGACCTCAGGTTCCTCATCTACAAATCAGATAGATGATCTCTCCAGTCACTCTCTGAACTTCCCATAATTCTGGGTGATTTTATTTGAAAACAAAAATTACATCTTTACTACAAATAACATTATAAAACATTAAATGAGATACATGCCTCATGAGTCATATCTCAGAATTGGTACATGTGATGAGCAAACAGAAAGACATGTTTGTTTAATTTACAACTTAATAACTCTTGGAAAGAAAATAGATGTGTATGAACATTTTGTAATCTGGTAAATTTGTTTTTCAGACAATTCGTTTTTCGTAAGAATTTGAGTTATTTATACTCTGACATTACAATATTTATTTAGGATTATTAAAAAAGGGTTCAGTTTGAAATCCTCATTATTAAATCTTATGAAATGTGTGCAAATTCTTCTTAGTTTTTTCAATGCTACCTGTTTTTGACACAAAAAAATTTTTCATTAAATAAACCCAAGAACAAGTTTCATAATCAGAATGTGTCATAGATAAACATATCACTAGGTTAAGTGTCTCAAATGAACTGACTAGTGACTAATCATTCAGTCCAACAATTAATCTGACTCACTTTTAACTCAACTGAATATTATCTGCTGAGTTAAATGGCAAAGTAGATCAGTTGTTTTTCCTTACATAAGCCAGCCATCCTTTTATTTAATGTTCCATGAAAAACAAAAACTATTCATATGGCTTGAAATATTGCAGTCAGGTTTTGTTCTTATATAAAAAAAGAAACAACCACAGGTATGAAAAGGACATAGAGTGTGAAAGATGGTACATTTAACAGACTCTAAGACTTAGGAAGGGAGAGATATAGAGAGATAGAAACGTCGATGAAAGAGAATCATTGACCAGCTGTCTCTTGCACACCCCCTACTGTGGATGTGCCCGCAACCAATGTATTTGCCCTTGATCGGAATCGAACCTGGGACCTTTCAGTCTGTAAACCGATGCTCTACCACTGAACCAAACCGGTTTCGGCTCCATTGTTTCTTAATGGAAATCTCAACTTCTGACCTGATGTTCTGGAATCCAGAGAGCAAGGTCACCATTGTATTCATAGGTGTTTCTGCTTGCTCCAAAGAAAGTTCCTGTACACATCATCACTTTAGAAATACCATTGAGGTGCCTGCCCAGAGCAGCCTGAGCCCTAGCCACAGGCCTCAGCTGGTCCAAGTAAGCCCTGAGATATAGTTCTTCATAATGTTTTCTTAAAATCCTTTGTTTTTCTGTGGTGTCAGTTATTCTCCTTCATTTCTGATTTTGAGTCCTTTCCCTTTTTTCCCCCTTGAGCCTAGTTAAAGGTTGTCAATCTTGTTTATCTTTCAAAGAACTATCTCTTTGCTTTGCTAATCTTTTGTAATTTTTTAGACTCTATGTAATTTATGTCTGCTTGAATCTTTATTATTTCCTCCTATTACTTTAGATTTGTTTATTGTTCTTTTTCTAGTTCCATTTTGGTGTAAGGTTAGATTGTTTATTTGAAATTTTCCTTGTTTCTTCAGGTAGGCTTACATTGCTGTGAATTTCCCTCAGAGGACTGTTTTTGCTGTGTCCTATAAATTTGGGATTGTTGTGTTTCATTTCCATTTCTCTCAAGATAACTTTTGATTTCTTCTTGATTTCATTGTTGACCCATTTATTGTTTAGTAATGTTATTCAGCCACCATGTGTTTGTGTGCTTTCAGTTTTTTTCTTGTGATTGATTTATAGTTTTATACTAATGTCATCAGAGAAGGTACTTGATATAATTTAATCTTATTGAATGTATTAAAACATGGTTTTTGTTCAAACATGTGGGTATATCCTAGAGAATGCTCCACGTGTACTTGAAAAGAATGTATATTCTACTGCTTTGGGGTACAATGTTTTGAAGACAGCAATTAAACTCACCTGTCTCATGTGTCATATGAGGCCACTGTTTCCTTATTGATATTTTGTCTTGAAGATCTAACCATTGATGAAAATGGTGTGTTGTAATCCCCTGCCAATCTCTATCTTTATATTCACCAAGATTTGTTTTATATATTTAGGTGCTCTTATGTTAGGTGCATATAGTTTACAAGGGTTAAATCCTCTTGTTGAATTTATCCCTTTTGCATTATGTAATGTCCTTTTTTTATCTCCTGATATGGCCTTTGTTTTGAAGTCTATTTTGTCGGATAAAAGTATTGCTATTCCAGCTTTTTATTTGTTTTCTTTTGTATAAAATATATTTGTCCAGCCTGGCCAGCATGGCTTAGTGGTTGAGCATTGACCTATGAACCAAGAAGTCACAGTTCAATTCCCAGTCAGGGCACATGACCAAGTTGAGGGCTTGATCCCCAGTGGGAGGGATGCAGAAGGCAGCCAATCAATGATTCTCTCTCATCATTGATGTTTCTATGTTTCTCTCCCTTCCTCTCCAAAATCAATAAAAATATATATATTTTTTAAAAACATATGTGTGTGTATTTCATCCATTCCTTTACTGTAAATCTGTATGTATCTTTCTTTTTTTTAAATATATTTTATTGATTTTTTTACAGAGAGGAATGGAGAGGGATAGAGAGAAACATCCATGAGAGAGAAACATTGATCAGCTGCCTCCTGCACATCTCCTACTAAGGATGTGCCCACAACCAAGATGTGTGCCCTTGACCAGAATCAAACCTGGGACCCTTCAGTCCACAAGCTTGAGTCTCTATTTACTGAGCCAAACCAGTTTCAGTCTGTGTATATCTTTCATTCTGAGGTGGGTCTCTTGTAGATAGCATATATTTGGGTCACATTTTCTTACCCATTCAGCTATCCATTCTTTTCACTGGAGCACTTAATTATTTAGATTTAAAGTAAATGTTGATAGGTACTAACTTATTGCCATCATATTCTTTTTTTAAAATATATTTTATTGATTTTTTTACAGAAGGAAGGGAGAGACATAGAGTTAGAAACATTAATCAGCTGCCTCCTGCACACCTCCCACTGGGGATGTGCTCAAAACCTAGGTACATGTCCTTGACCAGAATGGAACCTAGGACCTTTCAGTCCCCAGGCCACCGCTCTATCCACTGAGCCACTAAGCCAAACCCGTAGAGCCATAATATTCTTTATATCTTTGTTCCTCTCTCTTCTTCTTCTTCTTCTTCTTCTTCTTCTTTTTCTTCTTCTTCTTCTTCTTCTTCTTCTTCTTCTTCTTCTTCTTCTTCTTCCTCCTCCTCCTCCTCCTCCTCCTCCTCCTCCTCCTCCTCCTCCTCTTCTTCTTCTTTTTAATTTTTAAAGAAGACCCATTACCATTTCTTGTACTATTGGTTTCGTGGAAACAAACTTCAATAGCTTTTTCTTATCTGGAAAGCTCTTTATTTCACCCTCAATTTTAAATAATAGTCTTCCTAGGTAGACTCATTTTGGATGTAGGTACTTGTTATTTATCACTTTAAAAATTTCATACCAATCTTTCAATCTCTTCTAGCCTGAAGTGCATCTGTTAAGAAATCAGTTGACAGCCTTGTGAGAGCTCCCTTGTAGGTAACTGTCTTTCGCTTGCTGCTGTTAAGATTTTCTCTTTATCTCTAACCTTTCCAATTTAATTATAATGTGTCTTGGTATGGGCCTCTTCAGATTCATCTTGATTGAAACTCTGTTCTTCCTGGGTAGGTATGACATTTTACTTCACCAGACTAGGGAATATTTCAGCCATTATTTCTTCTAACAGGTTCTGGTACTCCTGTGATGTAGATTTTGTTATGCATAATATTGTCCAAGAGGTCCCTTAGACTTTCCTCATTTTTAAAGAATTATTTTTTTCTTTTTATTGCTCTGCTTGGGTGTTTTCTGTTATCTTGTCACTAAATCACCGATTCAATCCTCTGCTTCACCCAACCTGCTGTTATTTTCTTCTAATGTATTCTTCATTTCAGAAGTTATATTCTTTCTTTCTGACTGGTTCTTTCTGATGTATTTTATCTTCTTTTTAATGCTTGATATAGATAAATAGATGGAGTGTATATACCTAAGGCAATACCCCTCAATTATAGCTCCCTAAATGGAGCCACCGATGGACACCAAGCTATGAGGAATTTGAAATAATATTGTCTACAATTCCCCTGGGATGTAGTCATTCTATGTTGACAGTTAAAGAAATAATGTGTCTTGTTTGACATATTTGAAGAAATCTTTCTGAAACATATAAAGATTCAACCATAGTCTAATATAAATGATGCTTTCATGATACCTGGATGTAGAGGCAATAATTCAATTCAATTTGCATAGCATACCAAATACAGTAAGCACATTTAGTATATCACTAACTCTAGTGATTACTTTAAACTTTAAACAAAAGGAAAATCAAGATCCATATTCTACTAAATCTATAAATATAAAAACATAATATGCAAATTGACTGAACAACCAAATAGCAGAATGAACATCAGGACAACCTTTCAGATGACACACACTGGCACCAGGCCAGCCAAGGTGGGTGCGATGCGATGGATTGGGGACCGTCATAGTCCCATAATCTCCCCGCAGAGGGAGGCCCAGGCCA